ATCTAATCTAATCTAATCTAATCTAATCTATTTATATGCTGCCTTTTCTCCCAAAGAGTCCGTAAGGCAGCTTACATTATTATAAGAAACAAAGTTAAAAGCTCAACAACAAATTATTCCAACACACACAAAAAAAGTGAGAAAGTCGTCAAAACAAAAGCTCACAAATAACAGCAATATGAAAAATGCAAGTAAAACAACAGACTAAAAACAATATCTTTAAAAATAAAAATTCCCCTGGAGAACCAGTCACTTAAAGGAAAGTAGCTGTCGGAAGAAAAAGGTCTCTTGGCCTGCTTGCAGAAGGAGAGCCGAGAGGGGGACCAGCCTGGCCTCCAGTGGCAGGGGGTTCCAGAGTCCAAAGAAGGCCGTCTCCCGTGTCCTCCACCAACCACGCCCCTGTGAGGGCGGTGGGCCTGAGAAAAGCACCTCTCCCGACGATCGGAGCACTCAAGCAGGCTCCTAATGGGAGAGGCGGTCCTTGAGATCGCTTGCACCCAAGCCGTTTAGGGGTTTATAGATCAGAACGAGCCCTCCGAATTGTACCCGGAACCGGATCGGCAGCCAGCGGAGCGACTGCCCCCAGGGGGAGGCTCTACATCTGTGCATCCCTCCCTTACCTTAGGGGTCATGTCATGGGTAATGCAGAACTCCAGATGCTGAAGGATGCTCTCCATGGTGTGGTAGGGCTGCTGCTTGGTGGTCCGCAGGTACTTCTGCATGGCTCGAGCCATGGAAGCGAAGATGGCCTGGGCCGCCTCCCGGGGGTCCATGATCTCCCGGGGGTTCTTCTGGTCTTCCTCCTGGAGGCGCTTGATGTGCGTGAAGGCCTCTTCCACGGCCACCACCAGCCTACCGAGAGAAAAAAAGAAATTAAAGTGGTCCTTCTCTAGGAAGCGATGTACCGTTGCCCACATCCCGTAACCTCCTTCTCCGAGGAGGAGGGAGCAACCCAAGGAGGAAAGCAGGGAACAGATTGGATTGGCTGAAGGCAGGAAAGCCCCCCCGCACTGATTGGCCGAGACAGGGATGACAGCACAGGATGTTCACAAACATTTCAACTGCTCAGGGGATAAAAGCTCTTAGAAGGTTTGAAGCCCAGTTTCTGGGACAGAACGAGAGATTAGCTCCTCTGGGTAGGACTTTAAAAAAAAAAAGAAGCCACACCAGACTGACTGCTGACAAACCGAGTCATACAAACCCCAAAGCAGAGTTCTAACAAAGCTTTCCGCCAACCTTGGCTTTGTGCGATGGAAATGGACCACAACCGCCGTGTTTCTTTTCCACTTAGCAAATCACAGCCTTGACATAAGAAAAATTATGCACCGCATCTACTTGATCTTTACTCTTCTTAGGAGGAGAAGCTTCTGATGCTACCATTAGGTATGCCCAAAAATTATGTCTCGCTCTCTTACCTAGTCTCTCCCGGCCAAAACACCTAACCGCCTCTTTCCCTCAATTTATAGATCATGAAAGGGATGGCCTTTTTAAAAAAAAAAAAAAAAAGCCACCCAAGGATATAAATCCTTCTCAAAAAGTGGGGCCGGTGGAAGGCCGAAGGCAGGGAGGTACGTCTCTGCCATGGGATGACCAAAATCTCTGCCCAGATGCTCAGCCCCTCTTTCTGCACCCGCTTCCAGGCAGACGACATACCTGGCCCGCCTCTTTCGCACCCGGCGCTCATGCTCCGCCTCTTCGTAGTAATACTCGTTGTGGCTGTTATCTCTCCGGCGAGCGGCGGCTGCAATGACTGCCCGAGACTGGCTAGTTGAATTATTTGTTGCATTTTCTGAAGGGAAACAAAGACATGTGGGGTTTATGCCCATTGGATAGAGTAGAATCCTGTTATCCGCGGGGGACTGGCTTCAAGCCCCGCCCGCCCCGCGGATGCTGCAAAATGCGGATGATAGTGAACACCACCCATAGCATAGCTTTTGTCTCCCCCTTGTGGCCAGTTCTGGTAATGTCACCTTTAGAAATTATGTATATATTTCTGGGATTTTTCTTTTACTATTTTTTAATGTTTTCAGAGGATGGATAAGCAAGTCAGGGGATGCTGGTCCCACAGGTAAGGGAGTCCTAAGTTATTTCTCTCTCCTTTCTCTTTAAAACAGACCAAAGGCAGCTTAACATGACAAAAAGCAGAATATTTAAAAGGTTAAAAAAAAACAGTAAACAATTATATTTACCCTAAAATTGGTAAATAAATAGATTTGAAGCTGGGGAGGAACAATATGGCTCTCTGCATCATTTCCAGAGTGGGTGGTGTCCCACAGCACTTCAGTAAATAATGCAGCCCCAGCAAAGACACCACAAACCCCATCGTCCCCACGTGCCCAATTCTCCTCAGAGCCAAAATCAGACATAAAGGGAGCACATCTGGTTTTAGCAGCCAAAGCAACAACCTATACAAAATCTATCATTCTGCGGCGGTGGTTTTAAAATCGAAATGATTTGGGTCTTTCCACCTCATCCCAAAAAATCCAGGGACAGGAGGCTAGGTGGACAGAACTGGGAAACATTAATATTTTTTTACTACAAATCCTAAAATCCCCAGTCAGCCGCCTGGGAGTGCTTGGATTTGTAGTCCAAAAAAAAAAGAGTGTCCTTTTCCCCCAGGTGGGCGAGGGGATCCCCTCGGTCTAGGGCAGAGCTTCACCCTGCCTATCCGCTCGAGACGCAATGTGGCTCACCCTCTCCGAGCGAGTAGACCTTGAACCCGGACATCTTTTTGGAGAGGACGGACTTGGGCAGGTTCAAGAGGGCCGGGTTGTAGACGGGGAAGTCGTGGTAATAGTTTTCCAGGATCCACGCCGCGACGCGCTGGATGCTACATCAGAGCGAGGGCAGGAGAAAGAAGCACGATCAGGGCTCGGTTATACATTTCTCAGCTTTACTGGGAGAGAATTATCCTTTTTTTTTAAACGAATGCACGGGCCACGTTTCAGACGTCCGGCACCAGGGCTGGGATCCTGGTGTTTAAAGATGCTGTGTTGAATAGGTACCTGGTCTACCTGGAGCAGGTCTCTGGTGAAAGGTGATGCCTCAAATCCCCCCAACCCCTGAGAGGCACCTCCAACCAGGGTCGACCACTCCCTAGAGACCCCTCTGCTTGGTGGGACCTCCAGGCGGAAGGGCACCCCTCCGGTCCACCTGATCCAGGCTGAGCTCCAGCCACGGAGCATCCTTTTGACGGAACGGCCGAGCCGGAAAAGGTTGCCCAACGGACAGCCCCCCATGTGGGAGGCAGAGGCTCTGGCCGCCCTCCGGACCCTCACCTGAGATGGCCGACGTTGTAGAAGCGGCTGGCCCCGTCGGTGGAGCGCACCACCTTGAGGGTGAAGTGGGGCTGGAGCTGCCGCAGCTCCAGGAGGACCACGGCCAGGTAGTGGACGAAGAGCAGGGCATCCACCAGGGAGACGGCGTACTGGACGATGCCCTGGTAGTTGGTGTCGCGCGAGTCCAGGATTCGGACGCCGTAGAAGAGCCAGTAGGAGACCACCAGGAGGAAGACGAGGACCATGAGGAGGGCCCGGAAGACGAAGATCCGGGGGAAGAAGGCGCGCGGCCGGCGGAAGAAAAGGGCCCAGCTGCCCAGCAGGAGGATCAGCAGCTTGAAGGCCAGGGAGATGAAGAGTCCCTCGCAGGGGGTCCCGCACGGCTCCAGCTGGTCCCCCCACAGCAGCTGGGGCAGGAGGAGGAAGGCCAGCGGGGTGAGGAAGGCCAGGAGGGCCAGGGCCCCGCCCAGCGAGACCCCCAGGTGACGGGAGCAGTCCAGGTGGGCGCTCTCCTCCATGTCCTTGGCGATCCGCGTCAGGTCGTCGTGGGAGATGCTGTGCTCCGAGGTGCCCGTCACGACCGTGGTGGTCTCGCCCCAGTTGTCATCCTGGCCGGAGGAAAAGGGGGGGAGAAATGGGCGTGAGAGATGGAGGGGTACAGCCCATACCCATTCGGAAACCCCTGAGAACGACCCAGCTTGGGAGAGGACTACAAACCCCATTATCCCCCCACCAGCTGACAGGGCAACAAGACGTCCCAGTATGCCCCGGAGGGGTCGCTCCCCCAAAAGAGAAGAGGGACCAGCCCGTCCTTTTTCTCTCTCTCTCTCCCACACCCTCCCTTCCTCCCTTTTCTGGTTTATAGGGGTTCCGCCACCCAAAATCCCCATTCCCCTACGGGGAGCAGCTCGCCAAGATCCCGGGGGTGGCGACGTTTCCCGGATCTGCTCTTTTTATCTGCCAAAAAGAGAGAGAGAGAGAGAGAGAACTGGCCCTAAATGGAGTCCCCCCCCAAAAAAAACACACATTACGGATACTGGGTTTTGTAGTCCCAGATGACAAACCCCACCTGCAGATCCTTCCAAACCCCTAAAAAAATTAAGTGGGACGCCAACTGGAAGCCACAACCTCAGCAGGAAAAACATGAGACCACGACCCGTGGCTTGGCTCCCCCCCGTCCCCGAGAACACCCACCCCACCCTCGTCCACTCACCCTTTCGTCTCCCCGTGTCGACTCGTTGTCCAGCAGGGGCTCCCCGGGCGCTTGGATGGTGACGGACTTGTCTCCGCGGCTGCCATCGCGACTCTTCGAACGGTGCCTTTCTCGCCGGTCTCTGGCATGGCGGGCGGAGGGAGAAAGACCAAGCCTGAGGAGTCTGTCCTCAAGAGATTCCCCCCCCCCACCGGCCACTGGGGTCCCCGTCCACCTCTTTCTTCCTAGGATGCTGGCGCACCTCAAGGTCCGAAACCCCACGTCCCACTCGAAGACGGAGGGCCCACAGCATCCTCCCCTCCCTGTGGCCGGAGGCCGCTAGCTGCCGACCCTCCCCGCCCAGGCAGACACCCACCCACGCCTCACCTGTGCTTCCGTGAGCTGCGGGAATGGCCGGACTTGTAGGAGTAGCCCGAGTACTGGGATTCGTTGTCCATGTTGTCGGAACGCCGGGCCTTGAGCCGCTCCCCGTGGACGGACTTGGGTCTCCCGGGGCCCGTCGCCAAGACGGCCGCGGCCTCCTTCAGAGTGGGCTTCTTGAGGGCGAGCGGCACCTTCAGGAAGTCAACCTTCGCCTTGAGGGACTCTATTTTGATCGGCGGGCTGGGCGCGTCTCAGAAGAAAAAAAGAGGCGGGCACACCTGCAGGGGTGGACAGGACAGGACACGTCAGAGATGGCCCCACCTGGGCCGTTTTCCAGTAACAAAAGGAGAAAATTTACAATCGATCCCTGCTATGGTGCTGGGAGGTTGTCATTTCTATTACAGTTGTTGTTGAAAATACAACAATTCCCTTTCAGAATCCAGCTTGAACATCCGCCACTTCTCTCTCCATACAGGGTAAAAGCCTTCGCTGCCACACCTTGAGCATTATTTTGCTGACATGAGAAATGAAACTGGTTGTTCTGCATCAGATACAAGTTTTAACCAAACACCCCAGCATCAGTTTAATATTGGTGTAACAGATTCGGATATGGATCTATGATATGATCCACATATGGATGATGGTTATGACGATGTCTCAGCATGGCCGGGGGAGGGGTGCAGGCCAAAAGGCTAAATGATTAGGAATCCGGGCCAAACAATCCGAGAGTCACGACGCCTTCTTTGCAAAACCCTTGCATTTCGGATTTCCAGGATCTTGGCAACTGTTCTAAACGAGCAGCCGAAAGATTTTGGAACGGCTCCAGTTGCCATAATTCAGCGAGCGTCGGAGGGCGGCCCGATCTTGCTTCCGAATTCCTTTCATGTCTTGCCTTAATGTTTGGCGATCGGGGAATTTTACACGTTTTGAGGTTGCTTGGGGAGGGAACTCCCAACATCGTGTTGTGTGGTTTTGTGGTTGCTGTACGCCAGCAAAACTGACGGGGGTTGATCGGAGAGCCTGACCTTAAATCCTGACCCACTGGAAAAACCATCCGGTCCTTCCCCTCTCTCTCTTCCCGAAGTCGCACGTACACACACAGAGAGAGAGCTGCCCTCCTGGCGATCCACACACGAAATGTTCCCGAAGATTTATGCGTTCATTAAGATGCTGCTCATCACACTAACAGCCTCCGAGGAGGGGCCGGCAGAGAACTGAATTATTCAAAGCTCGCGAGGCAATGGCTGCTCGCTTTGGGTTTCCAGTCGGGGCAGGTCCCGAAAGAGGCGTGCCAGGGGGGCATGCCGGGACGCCGACGGGCTCTCCCCCCCCCCCCCCCCCCCCGGCCGCTTCCCACAAAACTCCCCAGATCCAGTTTTCTCCCAGCAGAAGAGACGTCTCGCGTGCGGAAAGCCCCACGTTCAAAATCTGGCAGCTCCGAGGAAGAATGTGCAAGGATGACGGATCGGGGACGGAGGGCAACGCCGTCCAGGGCTCAGATTGGCCACTTGGAGAGGTGCAGATTTAGAAACAGAAACAGCTGGGAAATGTTAGAATTTTGGACGTCAAGTTCCAGAATCCCCCAGCCAGCCTGCTGGGGCGTGTAGTCCAAAATGATTAACCTTTCCCCCCCCCATCCCTGATTCTAATTGTGCGTCGCACCAAAGGACGCTTTATCGGTTGTGATGTTGTTTGGAAAACATTGGGTAAACATCGCAGGGTAAAGACAGCAGGACTGCCCTATCCGGGATCCGTATCTGCTGATTCACTTATCCACGGTCTGAAAAGACTAAACAAGATTAAAAGAATACCAAACGGGGCAAGCCGCTCAGCCCCCTCCTCCAAGCAGGGAGCAGTCTGGCCCCTGTTCCTCCCAGACCAGTAACCCCAAGAGGGGAAAACTTCGCAGCCCCCCCCAAAAAAAGTGGCGCCTTCTGAACCCTCCACCAAAAATAAAATTCCCTCTCCCTTTCCGGCCGGCACCCACCCTGTACGCGGCGACCTATTTAACCGGAATTTTCTGACGGGCTCCTTTCCAACCTTCCAAAGCAGAAGCAGCAATTAAGAAGAGACGGGGCTTTGTCCTCGTGGCCGATTTAGGTCAAAGAGAGGGGAAATCCTTCCCTTGGGTCTCGGGAGGCAGCAGACGAAAACAAGGGGGCTTGCTTTTTTTAAAAAAGGGGGGGGATGATCTTGGGCTTCGCCGGCGAGAATGCGTGAGTCCCGCACGTCCTTTCCCGCACGAGGCTGCCAAAGCCCAGAAAACTTAAGTCAAAACAACCCCTTCCAAAAAAAAACCACAGAAAAAAACCCCACCCAGTTCTAGGAGGCCTGCCTTCGGCGCTGCCCCGTCCTACCTCACAAGGTTGTATGTTCGAATGTGTCATCCCGGGGGCTAGAGCAGATCTGTGCAGAAAAGAGTCTCGCCTGGTGCTCAGCCCCCTCCCGAGCAAATGGCCGCGAAGTCGCCGCTTTGGACTCCGAAACCCAGAATCCCCCAGACAGCATCGTTCGTAAATCGCTCATACATTTCACACCAAACAACCACAGAGCAGTCCCAAACGGCACAGCTGGGTTAAAAACCACCCGTACCCACCCATCTTTCCCCGCCCAGTGAGGGTGGATGATGGGTGTTCCAGCTGTGCTTTCATGCCACCCAGCTGCTGTTCCACACACCCCCAGGCCCTTCCCGGTCCACTCTCCAGGCCTCCAGCTTCACATCATAACTGCATAGCAAGCAGTGAGTCACCCAGCCCAACCTTTATTTTTCCCCCTTCAAAGGGTTTAATTACCAACCTCCTCCGTCGAAAAACACCTGCCCCAAAATTGCAGGACTTTGGCTTTTTCTCTCTCTCTATCTCCTCTGTCTCCTTCATTTTTTTTATTTAAAAAAAATCTACTGCGCCGAAGCGTTCTGCATAACTCAAAAGGCTGGCGCACTCCAGGGAAATCGCCCGGTTCGTCATAAAAGACAGCAGAGGCTGGGTTTTTGCTGAAGCGCGCTCTCCCAAACTGCAAACATGCACCGGGGAGATCGATCCGGGTGGCAAAGGATCCGGACGCCGGACTAAGGAACAGCGGAGGAAAGAAGCTGGAGAGACGGATCTTATAAGCAGGCTGGATTTGATTTAGATCAAGTCAGTTTAAGTCACAAATCCGCCCCGCTAATAATCATCTTTCAACAGCAGAAGAGAAAACGGGGGTTTTTATGGACCTGGAAGAGAAGGATCCGTAGCAACAGGTTCTAATTGCAAGAAAATGAGATTTTGACCAAAAGTTTGGAAGAAATTCCTGCCACTAAGACGTCTTTGGCCATAGAACGGAAGGCTTTGGGAGAGGACATATCTTCCTTTTTTTTGAAGATTTTTAAGGAGGATTGAATAGCCATCTATCTGGGAAGGTTTGCCTGTGGGTCCCCATCAACCAAAGGCTGGACTAGATGCCTCTGGGTGTCCCATTGCCAACTCGGTGAGTTGGCGGGAGAGGTTTTAAGAACAAAGAGCCGAAATGCACAACCCTTTTCCCCTTGGACGGCAGCAATTTTAGGAATCCATTAAGGCAGGTTTTGTTCTGCAGGCACACCCCGGAATCAAAGCAAGATGGGCTGCCGGACGGAACCTCAAGGGACGATCCAGAAACTTTCTCGTTTCGCGTCAGAGGAACTCCACCGCCAGCCCCAAAGCCAGATCGCATGGGACTCCCAGGGAAGCGTACGGCCAGCCCCCGCCCTCGAATAAAGCACCAGCCAAAAGGGGGGGGGATAGGTGGTGGGAAGAGCGACAGAACCGGGTCCGACTCATTTGAAAGGTGGGGCTGGAGGAGAGCTTTGCAGATACCCTGGACAGGGAGAGAGACCAAGAAGGGTGTGTGTGTATCCCCGGTCAAGTCAAGCCTGAACTCTCCCTGGAGGCACAAATGAGAAAACTTCGGGCTGTCCTCCTCTGGGCACCTCCTGAGAAGGCAGGATTATCTCTGGGGAAAAAGACCCTCCTGGAAGGCAGGATTATCTCTGGGGAAAAGACCCTCCTGATGCTGGGAAAGGCGGAAAGGCAGGAGGAAAAGAGGAAGACCCCAGGAGGAGATGGACGGACCCCCTCAAGGAAGCCACGAGTTCGGGTCTGCAGAAACGAGCAGGGCTGTTGAGGACGGGAGATTTTGGAGATCCATAGGGTCACCACGAGGTAACAGGACAGCAGAGAATAACATGATCATCAAGAGGTATACTTTGGTTTTTTTTTTTTTCCTTCCCTATTTTCCCAATAAAATCAGATGTTGGCTAAAATGTATGTGTTAACATGAAAATTTCTCTTTGCATCGAACAGGGAGGGAAATGTCTAACTTTAGGGAAGGAACGGTTCGAAAGGAACATAAAAACATTTCAGATCTTTCAGTCTCCAGTGGGCTTTAAAAGGAACACATTATTTCTAAGATCGGAACAAAATTTCAAAAACGGCTCTCTCCACCCCAATATATGTATCTTCCTGGAAGTCGTGCTCTCTCCTTGAAGCATCATGTGCCCCATTGCTTAGGAATCACGGCTCTAGACCGACTGCTCACTGGAAGTCATGCTCTCTCCTTGAAGCATCATGTGCCCCGTTGCTTAGGCATCACGGCTCTAGACCGACTGCTTGCAACCACCCTGCGAGGTCGGACACAGGAGACATTCCTGGCCCAACCAAGCAAGGAAGGTCTGGGGATGAACGTCGGATCTTGTAAAAAGAAAGCTAGCCGTCTGCTGTTGAGCAATGATTCTTCGAGGTGGGCCCTCCAAACATTCTAGGACTACAAATCCCAGAAGCCTTGACCATTGGCTGTGCCGGTTAGGGCTTTGGAGCTAAGGAACCGGTAGTCAAAACTATGCATCTTTCCCCCCCTTTTCTGGGGAAAAGGAAATTCACAATCAAAGCAAGGACCCAGCCTGGGGGACTACAATCCCCATGGGGACTGAGGAGGATGAGAACTGTGGTGAGAGATATTCAGAGGATGTTACGTTGAAAAAAAATTGGGAGGGAGACATTTAAACCATTTTAATCAAAGAAGAGAGCACCGCTGGAGAACTGGGAAACAGACACAGATGCACACACAATGCAATGTTCACATCATTTTCAAAGAGGAGCGCCTGTTAGTTTGTCACAACAAAACAAGAGTCGTGTGACACTCTCAACGACTCAGGGACTCGTTAGCAAGCACTTCATGGCCTCAGTCTTCAGGGTGCCACAGAATTCTTTGATATGTCATTTAAATTCTTCCATAAAACTGCAGACGGCAGGTTCAAACA